AATCACCACTGGGGTTTTTATTTTTTACTATATTAAGGAAAAATTACCGACAAAAAAACAAAACTTTCCCCTATATTAAATTATAAAACATTTATTATTACCCAATTTTTTTGGTAAAATAGAAAAGATGGAGCCACGTCGGGTAAAAAGACACTAAGCATGTCAAGCCTTAAAATTGCGCGCGCGCGTGGAACATCAAAAAAGTACAATACCCAAAATTGGCCATAGGCGACGTTTTAACCTCTTGCCGTCCGCCCGTTAAGAAAAAACGGACGGACGGCTGACTCCTAAACCCTAGACGCCGCAGCTGAAGCGGATCCCGACAATTATGCCGGGATCCACCCAGCTGCGTGACTGACCAGTCACGCAGCTGTACCTGTACTTGTTGGGCTGACTTAGAAAGCTGTCCGTTCATTTTTTTTACAACGGGCAGGCGGCAAGTGGTTAAAGCAGAACTCTGGGCACAATTTTTATAATTCCTTGCGGTGTGGCTACACCCCCTCCCCCCCAATGCACTGCAAGGGTTAAGAGCCGGTTCACACCAAAAACAGTGCGTTCCAGAGTGGTCAGCATCTAGAATGCACGCTATCGCAACTTGGCCGCCTCCCTGCGTTCAGGGGCGTGGCGGTGCATTGAAGTGCAATGGCACCACAGCCACGCCCCTCGCCCGCAGTGCAATCGCCAATACCCAAACGCGTGCGATATTAGTGCCTGCGTTCCAGTCCAGTGCGATCTGCAAAAATGCTAATGTGCCACGCATTTGGGTGCAGGCGTTTGCAGCAAGGGCTGCAATGCCATTGACTTCAATGCACCGCCACGCCCCCTCCTGCCCCTGAAGCTGATTGGTTGTCATGGTTGTCATAGATTCTGCCTGCTCCTGTTTTGATAAATCCCCCCACTCCCCCCATTGTATTATTTATGTAGAATGTGCAATGGGCAGATGAAAGACAGGATCATCCTCGCCAATTCACAGAACTGGTTGCATTCTGTGTAAATAATACTGTGAGAGGGGCAAAAAGAGGAGGGTAAACTGTGCTGAGCCTTCACTGTTACAGACGAGGCAGTTAACCCATACAGTTTGCAGTTGTAAGGAGGATTCGGCACCACTGAAGGGAGAATCTTCACGCTAACCTGCAGCCAGCAGGACATAGGATATAGTTCAATGGAGGTAAGCTAAGTCCCTGGTGCTGTATCCCAGCAATCTTTTTTTAACTAAACTATAGTTTTAAGGCCTCTTATACATCAGCCCCATTGATTGCGTTGGCCAACGCAGCCCCAATGCATAGACATGGCAATTTGCCCTATGTCCTATTAGTTCAGTTTATTAGTGTCTATTGAAAAAAAAAGTAGGTCATGTTGAATTTTTGCACAGAGCAACACATTGCAGTGCGTTTTGATGCATTGCACCATGCTGCCACACATAGCGTTAAATGGACAACATGGTCCAAAAGAAAAGAAATGCAAGCACTGTGATGCATTGCACAACGCACACCAGCAGGCATACATTATGCACACATTAATGCAAACCCACATTAATCCGCGCTCCTATCTATAAATAAAGAACTCTCTTAAACTAAATATCTGCATGTGCTCTAATGATAAGTATCATTCAACAGTATGATTTCTTTGGGAAGCCCCCACCCTCAACATTTCATTAACCTCCAATAAAGCGTAAATGCGCAATCTTAACATAAAAAAAAATCCTCAAATCTTAAATGCAAACTATATCAAAAAACATTTAAAAAAATGTGCAAAAAGTCTTTTCAACTATCCACCACAGATGCTTAATCCCAAAAATGTATTGCACAATCAATGCTCGTCATAAAATCTTTGCAAGTTCATAGATAAAAATTCCCAGTGCAAACCACCTCCTTATGCAGTGTGTTATAATATACCACTCTTTACCAGACTTCCAACAAGGTCAGGCGTGTTAGATGATCAGCAACATTTTTACTTCGAATTCCGACGATAGGACCAAGTTTTAAGTTTCCATGCCCAATCTGGATTTTTTTTCAATTTTAAGTTCCAGCTTTTAACAAATTGCATTTTCATGTAAAATATCCATCTCTGGAAACCGCTTACACTCTCCTAAAATCCACCAGCCCTAAATGGAAACTTTGTCTACCCTCCGGATCCTGAAAAAATTACTTTGATAAAACTTTCTACTTTTCCTAGAGTTGTGTTAGGGAACATGAGGCAGCGTTGTAACAGCATGGACATGCCCAACTGATGCGTTTAGTTATCAATCGACTTTTTAGTCTCTGATGTCCTTTTTAGATAATATAGATCTAAGAATAGGAGGGGTGCAGTTTCTAGCTTTCAGCAAGGTGTTGACTACTTGTTCTGAGGAAGCCCAGACCTACAAGTCTTTGCCTCTCAATATCCAAGCTGTAAGCCGTAGCTTCTCGGATGCAGGATTGGACCCTGGGACAATAATTCCTTCGATACTGGCAACGTCCATGGACCTTCCACTGCTCACTGAGGAAGTAGAGGGAACCATGGTCTCTTGGGCCAACTGGGCACCAGGACCAGAACTGTCAGAAAATCCCAGATCGCTGTCAAGGCATCGCATGCCATCACTCGAGAGCGGGGGTTCCTCGAGAAGAACCTCGTCAGCTTTGCATTCTCCGATGTTGCAAAGAGATCCACCTTTGGGCGAAATGTCCAGCTTACCAACTCTTGAAAGAACTGAAGCAAAAGGGAGCAATCGTTGTTGTCCAACAGGGCTCTTGACAAATAATCCGCATGGGTATTGAGGAACTCTGGAATGTAGACTGCTGCCAAGTGTAGTAAATTGGACTGTGCCCAGTCCAATATTGGGGCTACCTCCCTCAAGAGTGAACTGCTGCTAGAAATGCTATGCTTCCTTGTGAAGGTTTGATACTATATTGTGTAATGATGTAATGTTGTGTAATTTGTTGGATGAAAAATAAAAATTTTAAAAAGGAAAAAAAAAGAGTGAACTGCTGCAAGTTCCCCCTTGCTTCCTAATGTATGCATCCGCTGTAGCATTGTCCCTCCTCAAGAGCACTGCTTTGTTCCACAACAGAGACTGTAATGCTAACAACGCTTGAAATGCTGCTCGTATTTCAAGTACATTGGAGACCATTCCCTTCGAGGGAAAGGTCCAACGACCCTGAGCTATGTGACCTAAGCAATTGGGTCCCCATCCAAATTTGCTCGCGTCCATCGTCACCACCATCCAGGACACTGGAAGGAGAGAATGGCAATGGAGTAGATTCTGGTCCTCCGGCTACCATCTGATACTTTCCCTCATTGGTATCCTGATCCGAATTGACTGATTGAGGTCTTCTGTCCGCCATTGATCCAAGAACCCTTTCTGAAATGGTCGGGACTTCCACTGACACTCTCTGCTTGATGACTGGTATCTTTTTGGCAGGCAGTGCAACTGTATTCTATACCGTGTTTATCCGGGCCCCCAAGTACACCAGTTCCCAAGCTGGGGTGAGCTGACTCTTCTCTTGATTGATAATTGAACCAAATCTTTTGAGATCTGTCAATACTATCCCTCGATGGGCCAGTAATTAGTCTCTACTCTGATGCAGAAGCAGGCTATCTTCTAGATAGTGATAAATGCGCACTCAGTCTACTCAAAGCAAAGCCACCAATGTGAGAAGCACTTTCGTGAAGACTCTTGGTGATGTGGTAAGCCCGAAGGGGAGACAGGTGAACTGGTAGGGTAGCTGTCCGATTGAAAACCGCAGAAACTGCCTGGCCAGCCTCATCACCACCGCGTCAACCACTGGGGACTCTTCCTAATGTTTAACATTTTCCTTCCTAAACGGGTAGAGTTTTGTAAATATATATTGGAAAGAAGTCTTTCTTTCCACCTGACTCAATTCATCCTGTGATGATGTCCCTAATCTCTTCAATAAACGGGAAGGAACATACCTCTTTCCGCATATGTTTGAAGAATTTTCTCTTCTTCTCTGACTGCTCTGTCGAATCCTCCCAGAGCAAAACCTGTCTAACTATTTTAATAAAGGGCTGAACCAACCAAGGAAAAATGGAACCTTTCAAACTGCTCACTTTCTTCCTCTGATGCCGATGAATCATCTGACTGCGGGGGAGTAGACTAGCTTCTCCTAAATTAGGGGGCTGTCCCTGTCCCTTGGACAGTGGCTGCTGCCTGTTGCGGCTGAGGCTGTACATTGGCAGTGAATTCTTTAAGTGTATCTTGAAAGACCTTTTTCATTAAAGGAGAACTATGGGGTCAGGGCTTTTTCCCATAGATCTCCTAAGGTATACTGAGACGCCGCAGCCGGGACAGATCCCGACATTACTGTACCCCTGTATCCCGACATTAGAGCCAGCTGTTCCCACCCCCTCCCCGTCTGTTCTGCCAGTCAGCGCTAGAGGATCGGGCAGGGGAGGGGGAATCCCTGCAGGGAGCCGTGAGTGACAGTCAAGGCTCTCTGCAGGGACAGGATCGAGAAGTGAGCGAGCGACGGTATGTGTTCGCTCACTTCCCGATCTATTGAGCCGATCTGTGACAGTTTCATTGTCACAGGTCGGCTAGAACTATGAGGCTGAGGGATTTTCACTCGCCTCATAGTTCTCCTTTTAAGGACACTACTTAGAAGCTGTCTGCCTCCTTATCTCTAGTTGTTTCATGAAAGCAGCTTTTGCAAATTGTCTTCCCTGGTAATGCCATGTTTGGACATCCCCAACAACCACCCGGGTGAGGCTGCTGATGATGCTGAGATTCCGCAAGCCTAGAAGAAGACCGCTGTCTTTCAACATTTAAAAATGTTGCCGACCATCTAACACGTATGCCCTTGTTGGAAGTCTGGTAAAGAGTGGTGACGGATATTATCACACACTGCATAAGGAGGTGGTTTGCACTGGGAATTTTTATTCATGAACTTGCAAGGATTTTCTTAGATTGTAAGCCCTCACGGGCAGGGCCCTCCTTACCATCTTGTCTTGAATTGTATTGTGATTGTAATGTCTTCCTTATATTGTGAAGCGCTGCGCAAACTGTTGCCGCTATATAAATCCTTTATAATAATAATAATTTTCTGACAAGCATTGATTGTGGAATACTTTTTTTATGGATTAAGCATCTGTGGTGGATAGTTGAAAATACTTTGCATATTTTTTTATGTTATTTGAAGGATTTGAATGTTTTATCAACTGAATTGACATAGCTTGCATTTAAGATTTGAGTATTTTTTTATTTTAAGATTGCACATTGACATTTTATTGGAGGTTAATGAATTGTTAAGGGTAGGGAAGCGCAGTGCACCAAAGAAATAATGCAGCTAGAAGTTGGCCTTGCTGTCTGGCAGGTTAGCCTTGAAAAGCCTGACTCATTAAAACTACAAATCTCTTAGCAGGTAAAATAGTTCAATATTTCAGCTGTGTTTTTCGCTGTTTGTGTGTAGGTCAGCTTCAAATCTTTCACTATTCCTATTAGGGATGTCCCGTTACCGATACTAGCATTGGTATCGGGACTGATACAGGGCATTTTCACTGGTACTTGTGAGAATGCCCCCATACATAGTGCCGATACATGCGCTATATA